CTTTGCTTCCCTCTCTCTCTCTCTCTCTTCACCTTCTTCTTCTTCTTCTTCTTCTTCTTCTTCATTTTCTTCTTCTTCTTTTTTCTTTTTCTTCTTTTTTAACTTGACGCAACTCTCTCTTTCTCTCTCTGTCTTTTTCTTTCTTTCTTTTTATTGGTTAATACTTCTCTATATACTTCTCTCTTTCTCTTTCTGTTTATTGGTTAATCTTTCCTTCTTTTTCTTTAAAGTTCATCGATCTTCAAACGTTACTTACGGACCAATCGAACTTCCCCTCATTTTTTTCTGTTTTTTTTTGTTCTCTCTCTCTCTCTTTCCGGAAGTATAATCTTTCTCTCCTTTTTTAACATCCTCAGGCCCTTTCTCGTTCCATCTTTGAAAGTAGCTCTTCGACTACTTCTCTTAAAAACCATAAGGCGATTGAAGTTTCTTTATTCGGTGAAACTTCAACGACGACGACGAAGACGACGTCGACGATGATGATTTTTTTTTTTCGTTAGCAAGAAAGGATTCGTTTTTTTTTTTTTTTAATTCCCTGTCCCTTTTATACACTCTCGCGATTGTACGTACGATCAATAATTTATAATTTAATATTTATTTATTATTTAAGTATCATTTTTGTTTTTAATATGCACATGGGGTAGACTAAATCTTCGTTTTTATATATTATTTTTTAAATTTCTTTTTTTTTTTTATAATATATGTATGTGAAATCTTTAATGTGTGTGTGTGTGTGTGTTTTTTTATACAATGAAAACCTTTTTTATTTAATACTATGGAAAAAATTTCACGAGATATTTATGATTAATAAAATATCATTAATGTTATATTTGAAATATGTACGAAAACACGTGTTAATATTATTTTATATTAATTAACGACTATCCTAAATTCTTTGGATTGTAAAATATAATAAAAACGTCGACAATGTTTGCATAAAATATTTGAAAAGAAATTTGACATATGCTATATGAAATTTATAAAATTCGCTTTTAATTAACATAGTTAAATTAAAAATTGAAAAAAAAAAAATACTCTATTCCATATATAATATATATTTTTTGATTATTATAATATGGCATTTATAATTACATATATTATTATAATACATAAATATATGTGCAATTTAAATTTCCAAAATTCGCGTATTTCAATTTAAATGTCTCATAATTTTTTTTTTTTCATCGTCATCATCTTTTGATCTTTTTCTTTTTTCTTTTTTTTTTCTTAATCACGATATATCTTAGTATTTTTATTATAGTCATTCATACGTATTTGCGTACACCCCATCCTTACTTCCATTTCGTTCATGGATATAACATAACGCAGAAGCAACAAGCGTCTTCGTCATCTGCACGCGAAAGTTCTTTCTTACTTAGCGTGCAGATGAAAGACGACGGCAAGAGGAAACCAAATGGAAAGGGGAAGAATGAAAAATAAGAATATACGAAGAAAGAGAGAAAGAGAGATAGAGAGAGAGAGAGAGAGAGAGAAAGAGAAGGGAAAGATGAAGATCCGAGAAGGTAAAACGGAGGCCTCGCTACGTGGGGGCCTTGACCTGACCTCGATCCTCGCTCGAGTTCACTCTCACCGGCGTAGTAGAGAGGAAAGTGTTCCATTACCAAGTTTACACACATCGAGTATTCCTCACCACCGGATTGACATCTTCGAAATTAGCTTCTTCTTTTTTTTTTTTTTAAAACACATTTTATTTTTTATTTTCTATGCGTGTGTATTTCAACAAATTTGTTGTTTTCAATTAAACCATCTTAAATGAAATTATTTGACTTCTTTTGAAAATGGAATTTAAGAATGGAATATAATAATTAAAAAAAAGAAAAAATATATGTGTGTGTGTGGGGGGGGGGAAATGGATGACACGAGAAAATATCGTCCGGATCTAATTTATTTAATGTATATCATTAATTTTATTTTAATAATGGTACAATTATGATATATTTATTATTTTACCTAGTTGAGACAATATCATACGATACTGAGTCTAATTATCCGATTCATCGGAAATAGTTAAAGAATCGAAAGTTTAATTATATCTTAAAGACATCCTACGATGATAGAAATTTCTCTACAATTAAAAATTAAATAATAATAAAAAACAATTCAATAATAAATACAAGTGACATCGGATATCGAGATTGTTATATTATAATACTAATTAGTTTTAGAACTTCGTCGGTTAAACATTTCAAAAAAATTAGAAATTATTTAGAGGATTAAAAAATATCTACGAATAACCAGAGAAAGTTGGTAATAAAAACGTTAGAGATTATATTTCTCTCTCTCTCTCTCTCTCTCTTTTTATACAAATTTAGTTCCGTTATTATACATTAATATATACTATTTTTTAGCCCATCATCAATTCTAATGTCCATTCATATTTTACAAGGCTATTTTTAAAAACTTAAGAAACGAATTAGAGAAGAAGATGAAATAGGAAAAAAAAAAAAATGAAAAAAATAATAAAAAATAAAAAAACAGGTGAGAAAGCGTTTGGAGGTCATGGGCGAGAAGCGGGCGCGGCTCTCATTCTCGAAGTGAGGTCTTCTTTGGCGTGGTCCCAACTTATGTGTGTGCTCGCGTGTACACGCGCGCGCTTTACATTCCATGAAAAACCGTTAAACGTTTCGCGCAATACACACACACACACACACATACACACACAATCATCAATGATGAATATATTATATTCATTTCAAACGCACATTATTCTACGTTGAATTATTTGTGTCATTATGAACAAAAATGTAAAATAATAATATTTGTATATATATATAATTAACTTTACAAAGATGATAATCAAAATTGAAATTCATTTGTAGCATTGAATTGAATCCTGGTTATTTTAAAAAATTAGAGAATTATTATATCGGTCAAGGTTGTCAGGGTGAAATTAATTAAATGGAATGTCGAAATCCTTGGCCCCACCCTGAAGCCCCTTCCTATCTTCTAATCGCGAATTACAGTTATTAGAAAAATTCATTTAATTAAACGTGAATTTATATCTTTATTTGATGACCCACTTTATGGGGTAAAGGATTAAATTGGTATATATTTCCATATTTTATGAATTTGTTGTATAACTTTGGAATTTCATTTGGTCCTAGCCTACTAATTTTTAGATTAGTATTTGACAAATTTTTATTCGTTTGAATTTAAAGAGAAAAAAGATAAAGGTTCAAATTCTCAGGATAGATTGAGAATTATTGTGAGAAACTATGGTCTCATTTTGGAACGGTACCTCATCGATATATCGATACGAAGACAGGTCATCGTCTTCTTCTTCGTCGTCTGACGAAATCTCTTCTTTCCTTTTTTTTTTTTTTTTAAGGATGTAATAAAACGAACGGGATGATCAGTGAAACGCTATGATGAAAATGTGCTTTCTCCGCTTTATCCCAAAGTGTACGCTCGTGCGTTATATTCTATCGGTAAAAATACAAAAACCAAAAAAAAAAAATAATAATCATCTCAACAATTTTATATTCCTAATTGGACGAATCTTTTATATTTATTTATTTATTTATTTATTTATTTATTTATTCATCAAGTCTGTTTTATCTTCTGCAAAATATAACGGAATAGAAAAAAACCGATAAAAATAAAGAGTTAATTTGTTTAATTAATACTATTATTAATCAAATTAATAAAAATTGAATAAACAATTAGATAATTTTCAAAAAAAAAAAAAGGTATCATACAATTCTATATTATTTTAATAAAAATTACAAGTAAACTTAACACACACACACACACACATATAGAGATACAATAATTAGAAAAGTAATAACTTCGAACAAATCTAATCTGGTTTCTAATACAAAAAAAGGAACTTATGATTATCATACTCTTTCATAAATCGTATTGTTGAGTTGTTAGTGAACATTGTACAACTAGTGACGGGTTGAACTCTTACCGGAAATGCCTGAGGAGGATTGGCAAGTGTTCACGGTTGTATCGTTTCGATATCTTTCGGTGCCTTTGACCTGCCAGCCGCGTCGCTTAGTCTCTTACCTTCAGATTCGACGAGACACCGTGTATTCGAGTTGGGAAGAAAAAAAGAAGAAAAAAAAAAAAAATAAAAAAAAAAAGAAGAAAAAGAAGAAGAAGAAGAAACTCGATGATGCGTGGGCACGAATACTTTTTCTTTGCTCCTCCTCTTTCTCCTTTACCCTTTCTCCTTTCCCCTATCTCTCTCTCTCTCTCTCTCTCACTCATATTATCATATTCACAGGTTTCTCTTCTGTAAGTTAAAGAAAGATAAAAATAATTCTTGTGTGCACAAACGAGGAGCTAAATGAGTATGCACACTGCAAAATGTGTAAAATAAGAAGTGAATAAGTACGAGGCAAATTGAAGATGAAAAAGATGAAGATGAAGAAGATGGTTGAAACAGTTGGTAGAGGTGAGTTTAAAAAGTGATCCGAACAGAGAGGATATTCGGTTGAGAGCGCCTCGAGGAGGAGAACACCAATAGCTCGAATGGGTTGTAAAGTCGTCACAGGTACAGTGGGTAAAGGTGGAGGTAGAGAGGTACCCGGTGGCGGTACGGTGGTCTGTGGTGGTGGCGGGCGGCCTGTGGCAAGGTGTACGAGGGGGGGTCCTCAGTGGGGGCCATCAAAATTTCAAAGACGTACGCGGACCCCTTTCGCGACGAGGATAAAAGGCAGCAATCGTGATTCTTTCGGGCAGTGTCGATACGATCGTCGTAGTTGTTCGAACATCTTTCGAGACATTTTTATACGGGTTTGATATACTCCACATATTTGTAATAATTAATAATAATAATAATAATAAGATAGAATCTTGGAATCACCCGATTGAATTAAAAAAAAAAAAAAAGGGAAAACACTGATAACTCGTCGCGAACAATTCTTGTTTCTCGGTGTTATTGTTGTTTGTTGGATTGAGTTGGTTGGTTGGTTTGTAATTTGATATAACGACTTGTTCGGGAGAAAAAAATATATAAATTATCATAGAAGATGTCGAGGATTTTCGGTTCGATCATTCTTGGAGCATTTTTGACGGTAGTAGTAGTCTATGGTGCACCAACTGCAACGACACAGGATGTGACACAACAAGGTCCATCGATTCTTGAAGAAGCTTTAGACGTTTACGCATCATGTTCCGGTGAATCGGATCTATCGGTTTGTCTTAAATTAAAGGCATTACGATTCGTCGATAGGGCTGCCAAAACAGTTGACATCAATGTTATCGATGGACTCAGGATTGTACAGACCGACGAAGCTAAGAGCAATAGGTAAAAGATTTTCTTCTTTTTTTTTTAATAAAGTTTCGGTGCTTTTTTCTTTTTTTTACTATCGTGTAATACGAAAAGTTATGAATTGGATTGTATTATCGATACTTCATTTTTTTTTTTTTTTGTAAATGTTTTAATGAAAATTATTCGGGGCGGGGGGGGGTGGAGGGCAAGATTGATAACGTGTTACATGAATTTCATTATGTATCAATCGTCATTGATATTTTTAATCGAAAGTATTACGACGTTTTAATATTTTTAATCTTTTTTTTTTTTTTTGTTCTTTTTACAGCCGTGCTGATAACGCGAGATCTTACAACGATATTGAAAGTTCATTACCCAGCGAAACCGAAGCAAAAGAAGCTGCGATAGATCAAGCTATCGTTGAAAGAGCATCCAAATTTCTTTCTACGCATACCATTGAACTCAGTCTTCCAGAAGAATTCTCACGTTCATTCGATGAAGGTAATTTATTATATTACAATACATAAAATCATTTTCAAATCGATAATTGAAAAATATTTATAAACATTCCATACATAAAGATAGAAAATTTTCATTAACAAATGATAAATCTTGATTTTTACAGCTCGTGGAAAGAAGAAGAAAATCGTGAAATCCCTTTTGCCAATTTTGTTATTGCTCAAAGCAAAAGCAGCCATTTTGCTTCCGTTACTTTTAGGTGGTCTTGCATTGTTAGCATTCAAAGCACTCGTAATTGGCAAGATTGCTCTTATTATCAGTGTTATTGTCGGACTTCAAAAACTTTTGGCTAACAAGCAACAAAGTTACGAAGTAGTAGCTCATCCGGTTCACAGTCATTCTCATTACGAAGCCGATCATGCTGATCATCATGGTTGGGCAAGATCAGCTGGATCCGATTTAGCTTATAGCGCTTATAAACCATCAGAATAAATTTCATTTGAGACGATATCAAAAATCACCAAAACTATGTTACAAAAAAAAAAAAAAAAGAAATCAACAAACAAAACAAAACAAAACAAAAAAACTCATCTACCTTCGTACAAATGAAACGATAATCGCTGTCAGTACTCAGTGATAATTCGTTCGATACAAAAAAGGGTTGCTCAGGCTATGATGCTTTTAAACCCATTAATTTAAACTCAATGATTTTGATCATCATCATAGAAAACGTTAATCCAAATATTCGATTAACAAACAAACACACACACACTTAAATGTTCGAACACTCGACGAAGAATGTTAATTTCGACAACTGGACAATCAAAACGTTTTCTCTCTTTCCTACTTGACATTCTTTTTCTTTTTATTTTATTTATTCGACATTAGACAACCGATTACGTTCACGAAAGAAAAATATCAAAATTTCATCGTTTAAAAAAATTGGTATGACAAATAATAATATCATCTTTAACAATTTAGGGTTATTACTTCGATAAGTGTCCTCGAGATCACTTGAAACGTTAAATGATAAAAAGAAAAAGAAAGGAAAGAGAGATAAATGGACAATAACGTTGGACAATAGGATGATTCAAATGATTTCGAGAAACCTGAACTTTAATATCATTTGTTTAGGAAATAAAATGGCATTTGCCATTTGTCATTTCGTTGCGCGAAGTATCATCATTCATGAGTAAATTCAACTGCTTTTGAGGAAGATGATAAAATAATGAGGCTATTCGTACTTTTCATTTTATAACTTCGTCTAATGCAGTTTTACTCAGTTACAGTCAATACTTACGCAAAACAACTTCACAACTTCACCAGTTTTAATTTAATGAATAATTATTTATATAAAATCGATACATAATCGTATGTATCGATTAATTGTCATGTGTAATTTTCTCTCTTTCTCTCTCTTTCACTCTCACTCTTTCACTCTTTCATTCTCTCTCTCTTTTATCTAATTATTTATAAATAAATTGTTATTTTATACTAAGAACAATTACGAACGTTTTTATTATCATTTCATTTCACTTGTTACTTCTTCCCATCCACCCTTATTACCTTAAAAACAAAATAAATTACAATTTTAAATTAAAATATATTATTTATTATAATTATTTCAGATGAATTAATTGATCATTGTCCTATCCTTTTTTTTTTTTAATTTTTTTGTACTTTTCACTCGCTTGACAAAGTAACGAGATCGTCCGTATTCTTGTTATTCATCTTCGAAATAAAATGCACCTCTATTTCCTGGGTGCATCCGGTGTATCTGAGGCATGCAACAACAAAACTTGGTCGAACGAATTAACAAACAAACGAATGAACCTCTTATTATACTTTCGCTTACTTTGAGAATCTACCAAGTGAAACCGATTGTTCTGTCTTATGGGAAACACCCCTTTTTGTTTCCCCTCCCCATTTTTTCGTAGACTATATATCTCGGTGAAGATACTCGTTAAATCGACAGTATTCTATGAGACTACGACGACAAATTTTCATTCATTTTTTTAATAAATATCGAGAGTTTATTATTATTATTATTATTACTATTATTATTCTTTTATTGAGAATTATGGTCAAACGAATTTACTAGTTGAGTTAATATCTGTGTATTTCGTACGTTTAACAACGAAATTAGCCTACATATCGGATAATACGCGAGACATTGTACAATTATTGACTGTGTAAGAAACTTTTTATTATCATTATAATCATTATCATCATTATTATTATTATTATTGTATCGTATAATTCTTTCGTTCTCATTTCTTCTTCGTATAGAAGAAAAACTTTCGTTGTCTTCTCAATACGTTTCTAATATCATCTGTTGCTACTTTCTCTCTGAATAATAACCGATAGAGAAAGAGAGAGAGAGAGAGAGAGAGAGAAAAAAAAAACAACAAGATTAAAGAAACGAAGTTAAAAGTATGAAGAATCATTTTCGTAATCTTTATTTATTCGTTCTCGTGTCAACGGGAATCACGGTTATCATGGAACCAAAAGAACATTCGGAGGATACCAAAGAGAATTCGTTGAATTTCAATGATGCTTTCGGCACGTGTCTTACCAATAAAGAATACGGTATCTTAGAGTGTGCAAATCGTGCCACATTGAGTGTAATTCAATCGTTCAACGAACAGGACGAGCTCAATTTTGGAAATTTTCATTTGGAGAGAGCCGATGGTTACGGCCGAGAATTATTCGAACACGATTACGATCCGAATCATTTTCATAATGTTATAAAAGCAGCCATCAGATTGATCGAACGTAGAAACATGAAATGGAACTTGGATCATTTGTATCCGGGATTAAGGATGCGCGTAGGTCCGATGATTAATGCAAACGGGATTTTAGAATTTGTATTGGACGATATGCCATCACCTTCTTACCTCGACAAACAATCCGGAACAGGTTGGTACGAATGATGCAGTTAGCATTACAAGTGTGTTCGACTTTTTAGATCATCGGGTTACTTCTTTATTATTCATCATTCGTCGTATATATATTTTATCGATGATTTTTTTTTTTTTTTTATCGATGAAATAAATGAATTTCATTTTTTTTGTAATATTATTGAAGACAACAATTTTCCTAATGTCTTAAAAAAAAAAAAAACTATATATCTAAGTGATTACATTTTTGGGGGGGTTTAATTCGAAAAATACAATACAAATATTTGTAAATTAAATTCAAATATTCTATCCTTAGATTTAACTTTGAAAAATATATTTTATAGCATACCAAAGTGATTACATTTTTTTTTTTGTGTAATTTCATTTTTAATAATACAAGATAAATTTGCACGATTAAAATATACTGTAACTCGTTGTTCTATTAACTTTTACAAAATATTTCAGTACGGACACGAACCCTTTTGACATTTTATTTTCGTGGGTTTGTGTCTCGGCTAAGTTGTACACCTGCTTTCGAGAATTACCTGTAGCAGGCAGCACGGTCAAGGCCATCGAGTTTTACGTACCATCTTACACAAACGAGTTTTATTACTTTTACAGGAAGGATATTGACCAGACACCTGTTACCTTTCCTCATGGGGTTCAAGTTCAATCTTGTGTCCCTCATACCAATAATCTTTGGATTGCTGTTAATAGTTTCGAAAAAGATTTTGCTATTGATAAAGGTGGCATTCCTAATAAGTGGTTTATTAGGTTGGAATTCAATTTACAATACGCCACCTGTTCATAATCCGTCCATTTTGTATGGATTTAATGGATACGATCATCCTTACGAGGATGGTCAAATTAATTCTGGTGGACATTTTTACGATCATTATCATCATCATCATCATCATCCTAATTTTCAATATCGACCATATCGCGTACCAACAGCTTCTAATGTTGAATTTACACCATACGATCGACACGTTGTCAGAGAAGTTATCGATGTTTATGATAACGTTGATAAAACCGATCAAAGTACCAGGACTAGTAAAAATTTTGCTTGGACTGCTAAAAGTTGATCAGATTTGACCTGCAGATTTATTTTTTTTTCTTTTTTAAATTCTTTTAGGTAAGTCTGATGATAATAATGATGATGATGATGATGATGATGATGATGAAAACGGTGTTCATTTTATGAGATGGAAGGAATGCAGTATGTAGTATATTTGCTGTTTGACTGCACAAGTAAACGAACGTTTGTATCACATAGCTACCGATCGTTGCTCAGTAATGTTTGCGCATAATGGACTTAGATAAGTGGGTAACTGTTTTAACCCGTGCTCTTATTTTTGCGCAAATATATATATATATATATATGTGTGATAGGAGAGAGCTTATATTTTTTTATCGTAGTACCGTTTAAACATTCATTTTCTCCAAACGTTACAAACAAGATGATATTACGTATTTTAACATATATACATATTATATATATTTTATATTATTAAATAATTATAACATTTATATTATATAATTATATAGCATTATAAAATATAATATTATATAATAAGAATATATAATAATAATTATATTATTAAATAATTACAACAATTCTTTTTTGTCTTAAAGTTACAAACAAGATGATACTACTTATTTTAATAAAATAATTATAATAAAAATAATAATATAAAATATAATAAAATATTTATTGTTTCAATAATAATTCTTACTTATAAAAATTAATATTTTACTATCACCCCCATAGGAAATAAAATTAATTACATTTATTTAATTACATGGGAAAACGTATGACATAATTTTGTTTTATGAAATCAAAATTAATCACAAATATTTTCATAACGGTTTCTAGGTTTTTTTATTGATTTATTTATTTTTTTTTTTTTTCATTGGTAAACAGGAAGAAGGAAGAAGGATCTCATTGAAGATATCCTTTTGCATTTTCACTTGCAGGAAACATTTAGTTTCCTTTCGTTATTACTTCGTCCTATTCTTTCGGTCATCTAACAGTACCACCTATTTTTTTTTTGGCAGGAAATTACAGAATTGAATTACCTCCCGGAAACGTTTGTTTTCTTTTCTTTTTGGTAGAAAAAAAAAACGACGAACATACCATTACGAAAACCAATCTTAAAGCTTTTAACATAGTTCCCACAAAACACGTGATATTTTTAATAAAAAAAAAAAAAAATATATAATAATAAATGAACAGTCAATGATAAAAATCAATCATTCTAAGACAATGTTGATTCTTTTTAAAAATCATTGAAAACAAACTTAATTGTTAACTTTTGTCGAAATAAAAAAATCTTTTGTTTATACGAATATGCATGATTTTTGTTTTCTTAGGTCGAACGAATTGAATATTTTAACTGAGTAAACAAAAGTTAAGGATATATAATTAAAGTTAATTGATAAAGTTACAAGTTAAATGTAGAAAAAAAAAGAAAAACCAAAAAAAAAAGGAACTAGTCGTTAATCGTACAACATATAATTATTATAATTTATAATAATAGTTTAATAGGAATTCCGGATAGACGATGTATGGTATAGTTATCAAATAAAATAATACAAGTGTGTATAATTGCTTGCTTATGGTTTTTTATCAAGAATGTAGAACGTTACGGCGAATAATTGGTGTCGGTAATGAATTAACATTAACTCAAAGATTCGAAAATACGATTAGAAATATAAAAACTATGATGGTTATGGAGTAGTACGGGGTTAAAACCTAAATAAAATTGAAAATTTAAAAAAATGTGTAATATTACAAATATTACAAATGAAAAGAAAAAAAAAACAGATTTATTCAAATTGTTTGTATTACTCTTTTCTTTTTTTTTTCATATTAAACATTTAAAAAATTATACTCATTGATGTAATACGAAATTAAAAAAAAAAAAAAAAAAAAAAAAAAAA